GGAAAGGAAGATGCTGCAAATAATTTTGCCAGAGGGCATTATACAGGTAGTTATCCTGGAGAACTCAGGAGCCATTTCTTTGTTTTGTGTATAATTTTTGTTAGATGCACCTAATTTTTGGTTGTATTAACTTTCTTCACAGTTGGGAAGGAGATTGTCGATCTATGCCTTGATCGAGTAAGGAAATTGGCTGACAATTGCACGGGTTTGCAAGGATTTTTGGTGTTTAATGCTGTTGGTGGTGGTACTGGTTCTGGATTGGGGTCATTGTTGCTGGAACGTCTATCTGTGGATTATGGAAAAAAGTCTAAGCTTGGATTTACTATATATCCTTCTCCCCAGGTGCAAAGTCATGCTTTAGCAAAGCACTATTACATTTGTTTAGCATAGCAATAAAGCACAAGATTAAGACTTTAATTTTAGATGAGATTTCTCCATATAGGTTGTTATAGTAGTAGCTTTCATGATAAATGATATTATGGCTAACTCTTAGGTATTATCTTTAGCTCATGTTCCATAATGTTTGATGATGTTTTTACTAACAGCATATGTAACCTTTGACACTAATCTGTAGGTTATTTCTGTACTTACTAACTTGAGTTTTCTTGTTAATTTCAGGTATCTACTGCTGTTGTTGAGCCTTATAACAGTGTTCTTTCAACCCATTCCCTTCTTGAACACACCGATGTTGTTGTCATGTTGGACAATGAAGCCATTTATGATATCTGTAGGAGATCCCTAGACATTGAGAGGCCTACATATACCAATTTGAATCGACTGATCTCTCAAATCATATCATCCTTGACCACTTCATTACGGTTTGATGGAGCCATTAATGTGGATATTACTGAGTTCCAGACAAACCTGGTACCATATCCTCGCATCCACTTTATGCTTTCATCCTATGCCCCTGTAATCTCAGCAGAAAAGGCATTCCATGAACAGCTATCTGTCCCTGAGATAACAAATGCAGTTTTTGAGCCCTCAAGTATGATGGCTAAGTGTGATCCAAGGCATGGAAAATATATGGCTTGCTGCCTCATGTACCGCGGAGATGTTGTTCCCAAGGATGTCAATGCTGCTGTGGCTACTATTAAAACGAAGAGGACTGTTCAGTTTGTTGACTGGTAAGTATTTTGCACTAGTTGCAAGCACGAGCCTTTCTTGTTATAATAAACTACTTAGACACTAGCTGTTTAGTGGCCTTATAGGTAATTTGATCTAAATTAGATCCTTTGATTAGAATTTGATGGTAAAAAGGAAAGGCCTTTAATCAGTGAACCAAAAACTACATTTGTAAACAAGTTTTTAAATCTGATCCTGTTTGTTCCCCCATCTTGTTCCATTGACACCCTTTATAGGTAGAGTTACATGATTCGGAACCCATTTAGCAACATGTTTTTTTCTTCTCAAGAAACAATTGTCTGATATGCACTATTTAGTCGTAATCAAGTGCACTAATGGGAGTATATTGGGAATACATGTGATCAATGGTTGGGAGTGTGGTTAGTATTGCTTAGTTTGAGAGTAACAGATGTTTAGCTGGTACCTGGCAATGATATTGTTATTTAGCATGATTTAGTGTTCTGGTCCATCATTGCATGAACATGTGGCCCACGCTTCAAGAAGTATGTGGAGCTTTGTTGGGATCAACTTCAATATATTAGTGCCTGGGTGCTGTTGAATATCCTATTTGACTTGTACCTTTTACAGACTAGGCATGATGTGACTTGTATGTTTACAGACTAGGCATGATGTGTCTAAACCATGTGAGGTTCACTCTTTGCATGTCTTTTTATCTCCAAGGCAGAATGCTCTCGCTGCATGTTAACGTTCTGTTAGTAATTTCTTTTACTGCCAAATTCCTGTCCACCCCTTCTCTAACGTGGATGCCACCAAATCGTAATTTTTTTGGTTTTGGATTTGAACAGGTGCCCAACTGGCTTCAAATGTGGAATCAACTACCAGCCTCCAACAGTAGTACCTGGGGGTGATCTGGCCAAGGTGCAACGAGCTGTCTGCATGATCAGTAACAATACTGCTGTTGCAGAGGTGTTCTCGCGCATTGACCACAAATTTGATCTCATGTATGCTAAGAGGGCATTTGTCCACTGGTATGTTGGTGAAGGTATGGAAGAGGGGGAGTTCTCTGAAGCCCGTGAAGATTTAGCTGCGCTTGAAAAGGATTACGAGGAAGTGGGTGCTGAAGGAGTTGATGACGAGGAAGACGGTGATGAATATTGATTTAGACCAACATCTTTGAAGACAGGGTTCAGAGTGTCGGCCTAGTGCCTTGCATGTGTTTTTGTTGTAGTTTGCTGTCTTGTATAACTTCTCATATCATATCAGTTGTCTACATTGTATTTTGCCATTCCTTTGCATTCATGTCCAAATATTTTTACTATGCTGAACAGCGATTGTTCATATGATCGTATGATCTCTCCATTCTGATCCTTTATCAAGTAATTTGTAGATGTTCAACAAAGATATGAGATTCTTGATGCAGTAACGGTGAACCCTTGGAAGCTCAAGTCTCTACTTATTTATTTATACGAGAGAGAGAGAAAGGTGATTTATTTAAGAGATATTGTATTATAAAAACAGCACCAAGTGCTGATGCAATTACAGGTTGAGCAAAACCCAGAAAAGGAGTCCCTTTCACATCTTAATAGGGATTCTAAGATGCTAAGGGTTGATTCTGCATCATTTACAAACTCCTCTCTACACCAAAAAGAGAACAAGTATACGATTAACTTCATCTGTTGGACTGTGTTTGACTTATCTTCAAAAACACTTGTTGGGAAGCTCAACTCTTGATAATGAAGTATCAAGACTTGATTTTGTCTGGTAGTTTCCTCGGATAGGAGAATGAACAGGGAGAGGTACCATCAAACATTAATAAATAGCAAGTTACGAGGGCGACTAATCTCACATTAAAAAATTACAGACATCCAATCTACATTGATAAATTAAACATAGTATCCTCATCAAATAGACAATGTAGAAAATCAGGCATCTTCTGAACTCTTAAGTGACGTTACCTGATGACTATCATTAATTAAATTCAGCTAACCAAAAATCTGTAGACTCTATTTTTGCTGAATATTTGCAAAGATGGATGTTCTACAGTATTTATATTTGACTAAATCCAGCATATCTGACTCAATTAGATTTGTTTTGGAAACCTTAATAGGCCAATGAATCATGGATTCAGAAAATACAATGACCAAATTTCATTTTCGAATAAGAAGCGAATAAGTAATAGTATATTTTAACTAGAACTATACCTTCATCATCCAAACAACGAAAGCAAATGGTGGAACTTTTCTAGTCCACCATGCACATCTACTTCACTATTACCATTAAAATCAAGTCATAACTAAGGCTGTAATGGGCATTGAATGACATCTATACTATCACTTGCTTAAGTATCAACCAGCTAACTCACATTCAACTTTGTACAAGCATGTTCATGAAACTAATCATTTTAGATTATAATATCCGAAAGCCTCAATCCATAATATTAAAAGTGAAAAATCCTGAACCACTTCAAAAGCATTTACAAAAATTATTGTCCTGAACGCATGAGGCTGGATCTGCAGCAAAAACATAAAAATGAATCAATTATACAGAACTCTCACAAATGAAAGGATTACAGTGAAGTAGAAGTAATACTAAAGTAGTATCCCCACCTCCTCAACCAACCAACTCCCCCCCCCCCCCCCCCC